ATGATGATGATGATGATGATGATTTTTTTTTCTTAATGGGCCAGGCGGACTCCACGAAGAAATCTTCGTGCGAGAGCTAGGCTCTTTTGCTCTTTTTTGGCTCCATTGTCAATATGCTTAGCGGCACCTCCACTCGTCCAAATAACTCCATCCGAATTGCCATTGTTCCTGGACATTCAAACATATGTTTGACATCCTCCTTTTCATGGCCGCATCTTCGGCAACATGGACAGAACTCTTCATTTACAAAGTTCTTATACCATCTTAAACTCCAATGATCGTCTGACCGCTGTCTCGCTAGCTCAACCTGGTCCCAGCGACATGTGATGGATTTTTGTTCCCGCTTTTAGGAGTACCCAGAAAACACATCTTCCAGGTGCTGGTACTTAGTTCTACATGGTGGGTCTCTGATTTCTCTATAGATTATTGGAAAGACTCCTCTGTATGTTGTTGGTCGTCTGTCTCATTCAATCGCTCTTGCTTCATTAGCAGCTTGGCCTGCTGCCTCATTTCCTTCTATTCCAACATGGCTTGGAATCCACTGGATTTTTATTGTGGCTCTGGTTTCACTGAACTAGCGGCGCAAATCATTCATGTCCGAGCTGTTGCCCAGCAGCCCCTTGCAGAGTCTAGATCAGCACATTGGTTCTACTGTGGCAATTGTTAGCAATCCGTTGTGCAGCAGACATCATTGCCTGGCATTCCTCGTCTTAAGTGCTGCTGCTGATGATGATGATGATGATGATGATGATGATGATGATGATGATGACGATGACGATGATGATGATGATGATGAGTTGCTCCTACGTGGCTGAACGTCAAGCCGATGCAATAAAAACAAATTTTAAACATTTTATATATTTTTATTTCTTTGCCTGTAAATCAAGTTATACTTTCCAGCCTACTCTGCAGTTTAAACAATGATGATAGTGTTCCCCTTTCTCTGGCCTTTCCAGTTTGTGTTCACCGCACCTTTTAGCGTTGTAACATGAATGTATGCACTCTTGTTTTTACAGCTAGTGTAGATCTAGTCATATATATTTTGTATGTATCCCATGGACAGCTAGAAAAACAAATGAAAAAGTCCTGGTTGAAGTAAATTATAGAAAACAACTTATCACAAATATAAGAAAACG